CTCGGGCTGTGTGCGCGCTGGCACGACTGACCTCCAGCGCTGCGGGTGTCGTACCCAGCGCGGGGCACACATAGCCCCGTGTGCAGGGCAGGGCTGGCCCAGGCCGCTCACACTGTCATCCCTGCAGGTCCAGCACCGCCCCACCAGCATCGAGTGGGATGGCTGCGATCCCCAGAAGCTCTACACCCTGGTTCTCACAGACCCAGATGCTCCCAGTAGGAAGGACCCGAAGTTCAGGTAATGGGGGTGGGCAGCAAATTGTCCTGCCAGGGGGAAGTGGAACATCCCTCTAGGGCTGAGCAGAGGCTTGGGAGGAGGTCGGGACTGTGCTCCATCAAAGGTACAGCACTGGGGCTGTGGTTTGGCACAGAAACTGTCCTTGCATCTCTCCTTGAGCCAGGGACGGCATGGGGAGGAGCAGCTGCTTTTGCCAGGGGTGTTCAAAGGTCTGTTGTAGCTGGAGGAGCACAGCATCTGCTGCACACTCTGATTGGGCACATGTGTGAGTTGGATTTAGGTCTGTCTGTGCTGGCAGTGGATTCTTAAACCTGGGACCAACTCACTTGTCTCGAGTCAGGCTCAGAAGTGAGTGGAATATCCACTACTAGGGGTCAGGCCATGGGTTTCCCCCAGCCAGGCTGGAGGAGCTGATTTGGGCAGGCTGTGCATCCCAGTGGAGCAGCACCTGCCCTGGGACTGCTGCTCCTGGGGTTTGGCAAACCAGGAGCGGCAACTGTTCACTTACCCTGCACTGACAGCTTCAGGGAAAAACGGGGTCTTGGAGGGATGAAGGGACACCAGGGGCTGTACCACAGCCTGATCCACTGACAGCCTCAGGGAAAAACTGGGTCTTGGAGTGATGAAGGGACACGAGGGACTGTGCCACAGCCTGATTGTTCTTTGCCTTCTCCTTCCAGGGAATGGCATCACTTCCTGGTAACCAACATGAAAGGCAACGATGTGAGCAGTGGGACTGTGCTGTCGGATTACGTGGGCTCTGGGCCTCCCAAGGGAACAGGTTGGTACCTGGCTGCAGCACTTCCCATGCAGCACTACATGGATCAAACACAGCCCACAAGGGTGGGAGGGTGAGGCCAGCAGGGAACTGGCTGTGGGAACAGTCCCTGTGGGATTGCTCGTGGCTGCACGTAGCCACACTCTGCACGGGCACGTATGGAGCATCCCTACCGCATCTCTAAGCTGCGTTAAGCTCATCATCCTTAGCCCTCTGATCCTGAAGCAGGCACACTCCTGTGCTCCAGGGGTCACCGCAGAGCAGACCTTGTCCTCTGGAATTCCAAGCTCCTGGTGTGGTAACGCTGTCCCTCCCCGCAGGGCTGCACCGCTACGTGTGGCTGGTGTACGAGCAGCCGAAGCAGCTGTCCTGCAATGAGCCTGTACTGTCCAACCGCTCCGGGGACAAGCGAGGGAAGTTCAAGGTGGCTGCTTTCCGCAGCAAGTACGGGCTGGGGGGGCCTGTGGCAGGCACCTGCTACCAGGCAGAGTGGGATGACTACGTGCCCAAGCTCTACGAGCAGCTGTCGGGGAAGTAGTGCCCGGGGAGGTGGAGCAGCACTGTGCAGCACCCACGGGCCGGGCACGGCGCTGCAGCTTTGTTTGATTTAGTGAGTTGAACCCAACTGTCCTGCACTGATCACTGGACCTGTAACCCTGTAACACTGTCCCTGCGCCGTGTCCGTGTGTCCAGGCCTGTGCTGTGCTTCAGCTGACTCCCAGGGTACAGGTGATCCTAGTTAGAGAGCTGCTGATAGGTGTCCCTGGAAGGGTCACTCCCTCCAAACTGACTTGCTTAAGGGAAACAAAAGCCTTTGTGAATTAGTGTCAATTCTGGGTGTCTTTACTGTCCTGGGATGGCTTTATGTGACAGAGGTGTGGGTACAGAACCACTCTGGGCTGGTGCTGGCTGTGGAGACTCTCCTGGAGAGGAGAGGGCAGTCTAAGGGAAACTCCCTCCTTTTTGTTTTCTGTTCTTTTCCCCTCAACATTTGGCCAGTGCCTCCATGTCACCAAAGGGAACTGCTCCAGTAGTGAAGGTGTAGCTGTAGGGGGAGGCAGGAGCTGGCCTAGATCACTTCCTTCTGTTCTCTGCTGTCACTTAAAGCTGAGAAACCACTTAATTATGTTCAGTTCTGTGGTGACCTGATATTGCCGTGCTGTCTGCTCACAGTGCTATTAAAGCTTCCCAAGGTGCCTGGTGTGCTTGGTTGTCTTCTTGGGGGGTGAGGGGAGTGCTCCCAGGAGCAGCTTAGTGGTGTAGGGTTCCTGCCCTGCTCCTGCTGCAAACAGGCTGGATCCTGTGCCAGGGGCTCCACACTCCTGGAACACACTGGTGCTGGAGGGATGCAGCTCAAAGCCATCATGCCTTCCTCTCTTTATCTGCCTTCAGTCCCTGTCTGTCCTGAGGGATCTCCCCACACTCTCAGCTCTGTGGAGGCTCATTCCCTCTGCAGGAGCCATTACCACCCTGCCTGAATCCCCACAGCAGATTGGGGCGCCACCAGCTTTACTCACCTGAAGCCACTTCCCAGCCAAGCTGCAGGTCCCAGGTGTTTTCTGCTCCTCCAGCAGCTTGCTGGGGTGTGTTTCCTAAGTGCTTTGGTCCAGCCTGATGTCTTTGAAAGGGTAAAAAAAGGTGAAGCCAATGCAACTCTACTCCATGGAACTGGAAGCCTTCCCCCTTTTCCACACTGATGTCTCCAGGCCTGCATCCACGTGGTCTGAGGACAGGTCTGGACACCCTCAGTGCTGCAGCAAGGCCTGAAAATCAGTGACTCCAGAGCACAAAGTGGGTGGAGTCTGCCCCAGGGCAGGTCCAAACATTTCAACAGGATTGATGGTTTCTCAGGAAAACATCCCCAGCTCCTCAGCACACAAGAGTAAGGCTGGAGCAGTGATCCACCCTGGGACTTGGAAGCAGGACCTAAAAAAGTGAGCCACAATCCATTCCCTTAAGATCCTCTGGCACAGGCCCAGGGACAGCTGAGGGACACTGTGGAATGTGTCACCTCCCCATCCCCACCCTGCACCTGCACCAGGCACGAGCCACTCCTCCCACAATAACACAGCCAGGCATTGTGATGAACACTTTTATTTACAAATATAATTAAAAGCTCTGACAGTTATTCATGCTCTTCCCTGGAACCTGAAAAATGTTTTTTTTGTTGTTTTGTTGGGTTTTTTTGTCCTCTTTTTTTGTCCTTTTTTTTTTGTTTTTTTAAAGTGCATGCAAAAGAAGTAAAGCCTTTTTTTTTTCTCTTTTTATTGTAAGAAAATACACAGTTTGAAAGTGTGAATAATGCAATATTTATGACCAAGATCATGGGGGTTGGGGATGGACTTGGGGGAGGAACAAAAAAAAAAACCAAAAAAACAAAACCCCAAAATAAAAATAAAAGAAAAACTGAAAAGGGTTGGGATGATCTAACAGACAGTGTTGAGCTCCGAAGGGAACTGGAGAGTGGGAGTGGCTGGAGCAGGAGGAAGGTGGGGAAAGAAGTAAAAAAATTTTTGATCA